TCGGGGCTGCATGAAATTAAGTAATGAGTTGTGAAGAGTTCTGATTTGGGGGGGGGGGGAAACTGCAGCTCAACTTAAGAAAAACACAGTACACTATTGCAATCAATCAAATCAGGGAGGTGCAATGCAATTTGAAAATGTGGTTGTCATGTTGATGTATGCAGTGTGATACAGTACAGTAAATCAACCTTTTCGACAACCCTAACTGGATGATGGGCAATTATTTAAAGTCCCCTTTTTTTATTACTAATACTATAATAAACTGAGCAGCTCTATTAATACTAAGGCTATCATAGGCTAAGCTTAGTTAGTATTTAAACTTCCTAACCGAAAGCGACACATCTAGTAGAGGAACCAGCCCATTAACACAACACTTCACTCTTTGTCTCCAAATATACGCTCCCCGTTAATGTATCAAAGAGACTCCCGGCATTTGAGAAGGAAAAGAAAAGCCTCATCTCATTTAACATCAAGCAAGGCTAAAGAACAGCTTTTGGCATAGGAGTTGTTTTTTCTTTCTAAGCTTCTCTTAGTTAATTTCTTTCAGTTTATTTTTTTTTTCATTTTACAGTCTACAAATATTTTATAGCTTAATGTTTGTTTAATGCCAGAAAGTGAATTTGAACGAAGCATTATCCAGATTATATGGTGTAAAATATTCCATAATTTAACAATGGAACCTTAAAGAGTAAAAATGAAAGAGTCCTTTTTGATACCATCTCAATATAATCTACTGACGTTGGCATATAATAAAAGAAGATTAGATCATTAAAAGTATACAAAAAGAAATAATACAAATTTTTAAAGTCAGTAGAGAAAAAAACACTCAAAATTTAAATATAAATTTAAACACTCAAATTTAAATCTTGGGCTATACTTAAATGAATATTTATACAAATCTAAAAGCTTGGTCTTGGTGAATAATAAATTATGTTGAAATACAATTTTTAAAAATCTCAAATTTATAATTTAATTATTGAGGCTTTTAACATAAATGTATAATTGTGCAGCAAAACTTATTCAAAGCAGGAAACCAATTTGCCCTAGAAATCAAGTAGACAAATATGACTAAATACAAATGTTCTTGATGCTTTGACCAATCCACTTCTGTTCAGTGACTGTTAGGGTTATTATTTTTATCAATACTACGGATAACAGTGTAAAAAATGAGTGAAAATCAGACCAATAGTTCAGACCCCCAACTAATTGTTGGACCAAGTCTCGCACCCTTACAAAAGTAGCAACCCAGTTTTAAAAAAGAGACTCTCTTTGTAATTCAATAAAAAAATTAGTGAACAGTAGAACTTAGAAACTAAACATGTTACTTACACTTACATAATGTCAAATGTTAAGAAGAAATAATTTTTTTTAACAATTTCATAGTTTCAAAGATAGGCCTATGTTCTGAAAACAACTTTTATTTGCACCCCTTGATTGCCTTGAAATGCCAGACACTCACTCCAGTTTGGGAACCCTGATTTTTCAGCATCAGGCTTATTTGAGACCTGACCAAAGTATTTATTTCCAACTGCTGACTTATTTTACAATTATATTAGTTTAATTTTTTTTGGAAAGCATGGAGCACTATTTCAAACAAGCCTCCCATGGGCAAAAGTATATAAATAAGTGAAGCGTTATACGCAGTCGGCTGCGCATAACCCTGAGAGTTATACGCAATGGACTGCGCATAACCCTGAGGGTTATTCACAGCCGACTGCGTATAACTCTCGGGGTTATACGCAGTCGGCTAGGAATTTAGCCAAATAAGGGTATCAATCGCTTGTTTGGCAATTTTAAAAAAAAAGTATTATGCGTAATGAGCTGCATGATGGGTTGTTTTGTACTAGAACTTTGGATGTGTTGAAATTGAATTAATTTTAATTAATATTGAAATTGATGATAGCAATAGTATTAGTATTAGTGCTATTAGTTTTATTGCTTGTATCTTATATATTATAATTATAAGTATAAGTCAAAGTCTACATTTCGTTGAGTCTAAGCCTAAGTCTAAGATTTTTTAAAAGGCATTTCCATGGTCTAAGTCTAGTTATGTATTTTGATTGATTAGGTTTTTATATGTTGCTATGACCATGTGGTTAGTTTTACTGACTAATTCAGGAAATACATTCTATTTATTTAAAAATTTTTTTTATCATTTATGATTTTTTTTTTTTTGATGACCTAAATGTAACAGTTTTCAGCTTCCATGCAAAACTATAACTGTGTGAAAGTATTACTTACAGTGCCCCCTCTACAGAACCTCTGCCCCCTACAGCGATTTTTTTACTGCTACTCTCAACCCATGATTATAATTATTACTGTAACAGAGAAACATGATTTTAACTGCCACAAAATTAGTTAACAACACAAAATATATGTTAACAACACAAACATATATTTGATAATTATAAGAATAACATTATTATTACATTGGTCAAGTTAATAATTCTTCTCATGTTTTTACATTTTTTAGCCAAAACAAAAGTAAGTTGCCTAGTTGTTTTTGCTTCATTCTCGAGAACAAACATAGCAACTAACACGTATTCTTGGCTTGCCGTTGGCTGGAATTGAACTCAACACCACCAACTTGAAGTTTCGTCAGTTTGTACCATTCGACCACCCAGTCACCCCGATAATGAGGCACCCTTATTGATTGATACTGTAAAACAGGAAGAATATAGACCTCACGTGACTTGCCGACTGCGTATAACTCGCCTGCCTAATAATACTAATATTACTAAATCGATTACTAATTTAGTTAGCTAATAATATAAGCCTATAGTCTAGCAGGCCGATAATATTATTTATATTATATTTAAATACTAAAAGGACCATATAGGTCCTTGGCTCCGATATGCCCAGATGTAGTAGCAGTATGGACATGGACAGCCTGCCCAATTCAAAGAGATATTGATACACATCTATTACAGCTATAATTAGTATAATGGTCGATTTTTTAATGCCTACTGACTACTAAAAAATAGAACTAAATTTGAATGAGGTTCATCCTAAATTTAAAATCTTAGCTAAGTTAGTGGATAGTTTATCTTACACAACGTCACAAACGCAAATTTTTAGGGTTTAGTACTGTTAGGGGTAGGCGCATTCACGGCTCACGGCTTTTTTGTATACAAGTTATTTTGTTTCTTTGATATTGTACTATACCATGTCTTAATAGTTAATTATACTAGTACAGAGTTTGTAAACTCCACGCTACTTGGTTCTATTTAAATGTAATTTGGAGTTTGATGAAATACTCTAGAGTTTCAATGAACTCTTGAATTTGAAGACTGAAGTCCATCAATTTTGATCGTTTTAGTTTTATTTTATCCGATTGATTGATAGTCTTTGAAAATTCAGATTGCAGGAATTGTAGGCTGCATTTCATTGTATTCTTAGCGCTTGAAATATACTTATATATGCACTAAATATAATGTGTTAGCGTAAGATTAGGTCATAAAAATTATTTTTTTAAAAAAGAGGGTAAAAAGAGTTGTTTGTTGACTTACCTGACTGTAAGAGGTGCCACTTTCAGACGCCATTTTGATAGTTCGTATCAGCTCTGGCTCTGTCTTCACACGAAATATGACCGACAAACCTCTCTCTCAGTTGAAGCCTGTAATTTCCCACCACGAAACACTTGAGTTATCCAAAATTATGACATTCAAGTGCCAGAAATGCTTGTATTATGATTACGAAAACTTCATTTGTGAAATGTCCCAGTGAAGGCCGACATTTATCTGGTCACGTGCATTTAGTATCCAATGGAATCATTTGTTTTAGCAAGCACTGGGAAAGACTGTGATTTAATTTGACACAAATCATTGGTTCCCTGTAAAATAATTTCAAAAACTAAAGTGATTTTTATACAAAACAAAATGTTGATAAAGTGGGCGTGGTTACGCGTTTTTATTAACGTTTTGGTGCTCTCTAAAATGTGTATTTTTTGTTCTTCATATTTTTTTAAAACGTAAACATTTTACTTTTAATTTCATAATACCTTGATTTCTTTATTTTTCAATAAGGAACAAGTTACTATAAATACCCCTTTCTTTTTTTTTTCAAATTTATCCAGAAATGTAGGCTACTAATGATATTAGATTCCAGTTCGATTTAATTAAATAAATTATTTATATTCATCTACTCATACGTCAATCAAGTTCTATTTTGTTGAATAATATATCACTTAAATTTACATGTGATATTTGATGGGGAGTTTATTTCTTATCATCAAGAATATTTACTTATGAAGTACCACACCCTTTAAGTTTAAGTGTTAACTGTTTTTTATATTATTTCATTGGACTTTAAATAGCATTGGGAGAGTTTTGTATGCTAACTCCCACTCCCATTCCTTTCCCATCAGGGCCATCATAACATTTCATTCGAAAAAATCCTCTTGCCTTCACCTAGCATGTGAAGTATTATGTTGTGACAACTTGAAAATAAACACAAAACAAAGATCGCATTGCACAAAAACGTGGTTTTTCATTTAGAAGACGCCCTAAAACAAAAATGTGCCTTAGTATAGATACAAGAGACAACAATTAAAATTAAAGTGTTTGAAGAGAACGATATAAAATTACAGAATTTTGGGATTTCGTTGTCTTTCATATTAGCTTCGGTTTTAAAAAAATAGAATATGTGGCTTTTCATCATCATGGGCATGGCAACAGCAGTTGAGTTGATGTGGGAATTCATCGTATGGGATTTTCGCAAATGCAAACTGAATGCCTTTTAGAATTTGCCTTTAAAAATAAATGTTGGGTATGCAGCCCTATTTTACAGAATTAGCCATTAGTGATTTAATAAATAAATTCAATTGAGAGAAAAAAAATGGAATTTTTTTCTTAATTCCAAAATCAACAAATAAATAGAGGTGGATCCGCAGGTACTGTAAAGAGAATCAATATTTCAAAAATTATTATATTATAATTTAAAGTGTTCCTACAATATTGCGAAGCTATATTTCCATTAAGTCAACACAAAAAGTGTGACGTATATCACATACGGAAACGGCTATGTCTGTTGTAGTTGTAGTTTAGTCAAACAACTATGACACGAATGTTAATTTTGTTTACAGTTTTAAAGACATTTAAATAATTAGGAATGCCTAAAGTTGTATCAAAGAGTGTCGTGTGCACCGACACAAAAGACCAAGAAGAGTATCAGGGGGAAAAGCCATTATATGTTTATTATTGCTTATGCGGTCAGATGTCATTGATTCTTGGTGAGTTAAAAATTAAAATTACTTGTTAATTAATTTTTTTTTAACTGACCACTGAACTACATTAGAACTCCGAAATAAAGCAAGGTCGGATAATCTACAAATTGATTTTTAAAAAAAGGTCAAATTCCGCAATTCGCACCACAAATGAGTTGATGTGTACCACAATGAGTTGCTGTGTATTGTAGGCTTCTCTCCATTTTCTTTATTATTGGATCGTTACTAGAATTAAATTTTCTTTAAACTTTAATGTGACATGTAATTTTTTAAAATAAAATTTTATTGGTTGGTTAATTATAATACTTCTATTTTATGGCCCTTTAGAAAATGGGTTCTCAGTATTTTATTGTGTTGATTTTCTGAAAACTTTTGGATTTTCTTTTTGGTGGGACCTGAAAAAATGTGTGTAAAGATGTATTCTAAGAACCTGTAAGTAGGGTTCTCATTATTTTAAAATTATTTTTTTTCTGAATTTTTACACTTTCTTACCATAGTAGCCACACATGTGCTATGGTTGAGGGAAGAGAGCATGTACTGTACCGGCTGAAATTACAGCAGGAAAGGGAGCAATTGCAGGTCATTGAGACTTCTTGCTGCATGTCCAGAGGGATACAATAAAGTAGCTTCATGCACCACAAAATTTACCAGCTTATTCTCTCCATTTCCCCCCCCCCTAACCCTAACCATAACCCCCAATTTTATCAGTGTGTTTTTTTAAATGGCCATAACCTGGTCATGGCAAACAAGATGGCGGCCATGGAAAATAAGTGGCGCGGATTGTGTTTTTTTACCTGAAAAAATCCTGACAATCATTAAACTTATTGTGATTAAGTGATGAATAAACAAAGATTCAATATTAAAATTGATTTGTGACCTATTTGCAGATTGTCCCCTTGAGAAACTTCCATTGCGTAAACGAGATCGAGCACGAGTCATTGATAGCCAGAAGCATGCTCACAAACTGACCTGTGACCCTGATGAGATTGTTTATATCAAGAGGTATACTCGCTACTTTTCCTCTGAATTTTATGGAACAAAAAAGCATCATAAGCACAGAAGATGAAAGCCTTTTTCAAACATTAATGTCATGAAACAACTAATAATTACTTAATTCTTAAGTGTGAGAAGTGTGATAGATTTTTTTTTTTTTTTTAATTTTTGCATGGTGTAATAATTTCCAAACAAATTTATTTGAGCACAAATTTTAAGCAAAAGTTATTAAAATAAACTTTTAGCTTCCCTATGTTAACAACTCTTAAACCTTATTTGTTACAGGCAGGAGGGCTTGGAGAAACAATACAGACAGAAGTGCAAGAGGTACGCCTGTAAAGGAAGTTCCCTTTTTTCAATGGATCTCAAAGTCATAGAGACTTACCCAGTGTTTCATGAAGTCATTTCAACATAGAATAGCTAAATGTGCTTGTGTTCAGCTTTCATGGACTGCTGTACTGTTCTTTGCTTTTTTTTTTTTCTTTTTAAAGATGTTATTAACGTTGTGCCTGTCTTTCTATTGTAGATAAGTTTCCAAGTGATCAAATTTGATGTATTTTCTCTAGATGCGGGCTGCTATTGTACTACCATCACCAAGGCAACAGTTCGGTTATGTTCGTCTTTGATGGGGCGCTCAAGCGAGAGAGTGAAGGAATAAAGACTGATGTGTACAGTCAGTTGAGTGAACCAAAGAAGGTGATTTAGTCTTATATTCCATCTGTCGACTTAGATCTGTATACCCAGAAGAATTAATGACTATCAAATCACAAACATAAACATAATATTTTAGTTTTGCCTAAAGAATAACCACCACAATCTACCCTTTTCACTTGCTAGTTTATCATTCTAGTTTGACATATCCAAATAGAATATCTACTATGATCCACAATAGTCACTTGTTATTTTATCATATCCAAATAGAATATACAGTATGATCCACAATAGTCACTTGTTATTTTATCATATCCAATTAGAATATACACTATGATCCACCATTGTCACTTTTGGTTTATCATTCCAGGGGACCCTGACATATGCAAATAGAATATCCACTAAGATCCACAATTTTATTTTGTAGTTTATCATTCCAGGTAACCTTGACATTTCCTAATAGAATATCCACTATGATCCACAAATGTTACTTCCTAGTTTATCATTCCAGGTGACGCTGACAAAACACACAAAGAACATGGGTAAATTCAGCTCTGTCACTGTGTCCACAGTAGATGAAGAGGAGGAAGAACTGGAAGCTGTGAGTACAAATCTTATCATACCTTCAAACCTTTTTGTTTTGTTTTTTGAAATGATCAATAGCAATTTTTATTCAAATAGCAATTTTAATTAACCATATATAGCCTACCTATAAGCATCAATTTGAGCAGAGAGTATTTTATTTCACCATATTTAAACATCAATTTGGGTAGAGAGTATTTCAATTAACCACATATAAACATCAATTTTGGCAGAGTATTTTAATTAAACATTTATAGAAACATCAATTGGAGCAGAGAGTATTTTAATTAACTGTATATAAACATCAATTTGAGCAGAATTCCAGGAAGGGATTTGTAAAAACGTTTCCCCACCTATGAAAAAGAAATGTATACAAACCAATATAGCACATTATGGGGATATCCTTCTGATCTTTCAAAAGTTCCATTGTTTTACAATCCAATCATGTAGAAAGTAATATTTTTTAATCTGGATCAAATAACTTATAAATAAGGCCGATCCGTACACTTAACATACACACACACAATAATATTTTTTTAACATATCACTTCCCGAATTTTTTTAAAAACCAGATGCATATGTGAAAATAAACAACCATTTCATAAATCCTATGTCATATGCTTCAGGGGTTCATTTAGACAACTTTTGTATTTGACCAGATTGTTATTTACAAGTTGTGCCCCAAACAACTATAAATCACTTCATTTAATGTATAACTAGTTACACTCAATTTTAAGGTTATTGATAGCAAGAAGTTTCTTGGATAATTTTTTCTTACTATATCCTAAGCTAATAATTTATAACCTAGTAATAGTTAGAAAAATATACCTCCTGATGTATATACCTGGAATGCATAACAAAGGGTGTAAGCATTATAAGCTGCTGTTGATTTTAATATTCCCTATGTGATTATTTATTCATCACCCTGTCCGTACTTCATTGCAGAAAGAGATAGCTGATTCTTATGCAGCAAATGCCAAGGTTATTGAGAAGCAACTATTGAGGAAAGGCATGTCTAAGAGGAAGCTCATGGAACAGGTAAGGAAGACTTTTGATGGCAGGAATACATTGCGTGTGTGACGGACACATAGCCCGTCAAACTCATTTCAACTGTCAGAAGCTTATATTTTGAACGGTGTTCAGTTTATATTTATATGTAACATATTAACAAGCTGGACATTGTTCACCTGGGCCATAATAAAATTTCATCTGAGTGAGATTATATAATAATGAAACAGTTCATTCATAATTCACATAATAAAGTCTAACAGAAGTATAGAAAACTATATACAAGATTTTCAACTTGGATTGCGTGTCTAGTTTATAAATAGATATGTGCTTATTTCAATTTATTGTTTAATGTGGTCACCGCTCCTTACTTCAAGTAAATATATATATATATATATATATATGTATATGTATATATATCATAAATCCAGAGTTTAAACCAAAATAAATTTCATAAAAATAATTGACTCATGAGATGATAGTATGGCAGTCAAGTTTTGCCTTTGATAAATGTATCTCTTTGAAAGATGTCAAGTAGTTTGTTGAATTTATCATTGAAAATGAAATAACTTGGTATATGGTATAAGAACTTTTTAAATATCTGTTGTACTGGTTAGTGTTATGTTGGATATATCCGGAATCATAGAAGTTACTGTAGATTGATGGGCTAATTATAGTGTAATGTTGGATAAGTCTGGATCATAGAAGTTACTGTAGATTGATGGGCTAATTATAGTGTTATGTTGGATAAGTCTGGATCATTGAAGTTACTGTACAGTTTTGGGCTAATTATAGTGTTATGTTGGATAAGTCGGGATCATAGAAGTTACTCTACAGTGTTTATGTTTATTTCTATCCAGGCTGAAGAAGAGGCGAAAAAGATGCGACCAAAGGGAACGTTGATTGACAAGTGATGCAGAGGAAAAGTGATCTAAGTTTGGACACTTGATTAATGAGAGAGAGTGGCAGAGTGATACAAGGAATAGGGATTAGACACTGATATTTAAACCTTTGTGTGTGTTTGTGTGGTGATAAGTTGTTAATGGACATGCTGACAGTAAAACCAAAAAAAAATGCTTGAATGAGCTATGAAAGAGGGTCAGGCTGCAGGGTGGGAGTATTGTGTGGTTGTGTCTGAGATGTGTTTGAGTTACACATTTCAAGAACATTTTGTAGATACATCATTTACATTGTTTGATTACATTGAGTAATAAATTCAATTATGTCATTACTTCATCTTTGTTGACATATCATTGAATGTAGTGTCCACCACTGCCCCAATATCTGTCCGAACCTTAGAGTCACCAGAAGCTGTCACATAATAGACATGTTATGATGACATGTCATACATGACTGACAGATGACAGCTCATTTAATTCATACTTGCATCTGTTGAATGCCCTCTAACCCAAGCACTAGCTACATCAGTTGAATGCCCTCTAACCCAACCACTAGCTACATCAGTTGAATGCCCTCTAACCCAAGCACTAGCTACATCAGTTGAATGCCCTCTAACCCAACCACTAGCTACATCAGTTGAATGCCCTCTAACCCAACCACTAGCTACATCAGTTGAATGCCCTCTAACCCAACCACTAGCTACATCAGTTGAATGCCCTCTAACCCAACCACTAGCTACATCAGTTGAATGCCCTCTAACCCAACCACTAGCTACATCAGTTGAATGCCCTCTAATGCGTTAAGAAAGAAATTTGACGCAAAATTTGATCGTTTGAACTGGAAAATAAAGAATTCGATCAAATTTCCGTCTATAAATTGTCCGTCGACGAAATTTCTTTCAAACAAATTTCCGGATACGAGATTAAGACACACATGAGTTAAGGGAAATAAGCGAAATATTTTAGACCTCTAAATCACTCAATAATCCAAGGGTTGCATACCTTGTAACGACAACTCGGTTTGTAACCATCTCATTCCCTATACAGGTACTTGAGCTTTTTCCTTTTTCTTTTTTTAACAATCAATTTTCCAACAAATCTTGTCATCAAGCAACAATTCATCTTGATCAATATCAATATTCCCCCCCCCACTACCCCCCCCCCCAAACTGTATCCCACTTTACGGAAATAGTATTAATAGAAATTATGTGATACAACGTTGTCAATGGCATTGAAATAATGGCTTTACCGGTGGAGGTAGGTTTGAAGACCTGTAACAAAGATCAAACTATTTCTGTACATGATATAACGTTACCTTTCCAACTGTACGTGGAATTGTGTCTGGATATGGCATTACACTGGTGGGTGTGGACTTGTTGTGTCGGGGCATGGCATTACACTGGTGGGTGTGGACTTGTTGTGTCAGGGTAAACCATTACTATTTGGTAAGTGTGGACTAGCTGCGTCGGGGTAAGTCATTACAAATTGATAACAAATTAAGCCCAATGCTTAAATTAGTGGTGTTTATTAATAACAAATTAAGTCCAATGGTTAAATTAGTGGTGTTTATTAATAACAAATTAAGTCCAATGGTTAAATTAGTGGTGTTTATTAATAACACATTAAGTCCAATGCTTAAATTAGTGGTGTTTATTAATAAAAAATTAAGTCCAATGCTTAAATTAGTGGTGTTTATTAATAAAAAATTAAGTCCAATGGTTAAATTAGTGGTGTTTATTAATAACACATTAAGTCCAATGCTTAAATTAGTGGTGTTTATTAATAACAAATTAAGTCCAATGCTTAAATTAGTGGTGTTTATTAATAACAAATTAAGTCCAATGGTTAAATTAGTGGTGTTTATTAATAACACATTCAGCCCACTACTTCAATGAATGAATGAAAGCAATGCTTTGAATGAAAAGACCAACGAAAAGGGTTCATTAATAAATAAGAGACTTTGGATGACATCAAGAGTAGAACTAGAACTAGTACTCCTCGTTTACAGATAGCGCTAGGCCGACACACCAGCTTTGAAACTAATGTTCAACAAAGTATTTTATTCACTTAATTTGTATTATCACCAATGTTTTCACTTCAATTTGATTTTTGTGTTTTAAAGAAAGTTTTAATGTTACTAAACTTATGGGGGAAACACCCATTCTTTAAATAGATTAAGAGAAGTTTACTGTGATACAAAGATTACAGCCAAGTAACTTGTAGAAACTATTCATGTCGAGTCCAGTCTTTTATCTACATCAAAGAAACTTAAAGAAACTACTGATGATAAGTTCGGTCGTTTACCTACAGCAAGCCCAGACAACTCAGAACATAAGGTGGGCCGTAATACTGGGAGACAAACTTGTGCGGGCCCGAAAGAAAATAGGACAGGGGGAAAAAGCTATTAAGAAAGTAAGAATAATAAAGAATAGTTCTTTACTTATGAAATACATTCAATGTAACACATTGCATCGTTTTTTCGGTAACACATGTATCGTATTCAGGGGATATTTTGGAAGTGGCTGTTCTCAAGATGTCTCCCGAATGATCATCATTCAAACATAGGCGTGGCTTGCATTTATGGATGTTCATGATGGAACACGTCTGTTGACGTAGATGATCAGTGGTTCCAAACACACGCACAGTTTTTAGTGCAACTTGTCAAGGATTTGTGTATTTCTCACGGTCTAGATTTTTTATCAAAATCCTTCAGGCTTTATACCCTCTCTGTACTTGCTTCGATAGATTGCCGAACATTGCAGTGCGATAACCCCCAGTTGCAATTGAACTGGTATGTCCTGGGAACTAGTATGTCCTGGGAACTGGTGTGTCCTGGGAACTAGTGTATCCTGGGAACTGGTGTGTCCTGGGAACTGGTGTGTCCTGGGAACTGGTGTGTCCTGGCAACTGGTGTGTCCTGGGAATTCGCAGAAAAGGGATCTTCAATTGGTTTAAACTGAATTTCTTCTTCTTTAGAAAGAGTTAGTCGTTTATCAACTTCTTCTATTAAAAGATAAATTGTCATAGCATTAGCATTTTTTTCCCCAACACGGCGTGCTTTCATTTATAATATTATGAATGTTCACCAAAGTCTTCGCGGCCCGCGGGCCGAATGTTGTGCAGGCCTGGCCTGAAATGTCCGTTTAACTATGAATGGAATTGATGAAAAGATCCCGAAGCCTATTATCCTGAATTTTCAATCTTTAGTGTAGGGGAGGGGGGGGCGAGAAGGGACCGCTCCACCAAGACACTTTTTCTATAAGTGGAGATTGGGGGGGGGGGCGCCCTTTCAAGAATAAGGCTTTTTTTTTTTTTT